CCTATTCAGCATTTATACAATTGTTTTTGATAGTATTTAGCATGTTTTGGACACTCGGGTGAAGAGAGGGGAGGAACTGTCAAATGACCACTACTTGGTGGTGAGTTGGCTCTGTTGGTGGGGGGAGGATGCTCAGACCGGGCAGACCCAAACGTATGGTGAGGGTCTGCTGGGAACATCTGTCAGAGTCTCCCGTCAGATGGATCTTCAACTCACACCTCCGGGGGAACTTCAAACACGTTCCGGGGGAGATGGGGGACATTGAGTCAGAGTGGTCCTTGTTCCGTACCTCCATTGTCGAGGCAGCTTACCTGAGCTGTGGCCGAAAGGTTGTCGGTGCCTGACGTGGAGGCAACCCTCGCACCCGCTGGTGACACCCGCGGTGAGGGATGCTGTCAGGCTGATKAAGGAGTCTTATCTGGTCTTTTTGGCCTGTGGGACTCCRGAAGCAGCTGATAKGTATCGGCAGTCAAAGCGGATTGCAGCTCGGGTGGTYGCTGCGGTAAAAACTCTGGCGTGGGAGGAGTTCGGAGAGGCCATGGATAAAGACTTCCATAYGGCCTCAAGATGATTCTGGTCCACYATCCRGCATCTCAGTGGGGGAAAGTGGTTCACCACCAACACTATTTATGGTGAGGATGGTGAGCTGCTGACCTCAACTCARGACATTGTGGGTCGGTGGACAGAATACTTTGAAGACCTCCTCAATCCTACCGACACGTCTTCCCATGAGGAAACAGATCCTGAGGACCCTGGGTCGGACTCTCCATTCTCTGRTGCCGAGGTCACTGAGGTGGTWAAAAAGCTCCTCGGTGACAAGGTGCCRGGGGTGGATGAGATTCACAYGGAGTTCCTWAAGGCTCTGGATTTTGTGRGGTTGTGTTGGTTGATGYGACKCTACAATATCGCGTGGACATCGGGGGYARTTCCCCTGGATTGGCAGACCGGGGTGGTGGTCCCCCTATTTAAAAAGGGGGACCACAGAGTGTGTTCCAACTATAGGGGGATCACACTTCTGAGCCTCCCTGGTAAGGTCTATTCAGGGGTCCTGGATTGGAGGGTCCGTCGGATAGTTGAATCTTGGATTCAGGAAGAGCAGTGTGGTTTTCTTCCTGGTCGTGGAACAGCGGACTAGCTCTACACCCTCAGCAGGGTCCTGGAGGGTGCATGGGAGTTTGCCCAACCAGTCTACATGTGTTTTGTGGACTTGGAGAAGGCATTCAACTGTGTCCCTCGGGGACTCCTGTAGGGGGTACTCCGGGAGTATGGGGTACCAGCCCCATTGATACGGGCTGTTAGGTCCTTCCATGACTGGTGCCAGAGCTTGGTTTGCATCGCCAGTAGTGAGTCGGACTTGTTTCCGGTGAGAGTTGGACTCTGCCAAAGTTGCTCTTTGTCACCGATTCTGTTCATAACATTTATGGACAGAATTTCTAGGCGCAGCCGAGGTGTTGAGGGGATCTGTTTTGGTGACCTTAGGATCACATCTCTGCTTTTTGCGGATGATGTGGTCCTATTGGCTTCATCAGATCGTGATCTCCAGCTCTCACTGGAGCGGTTCGCAGCCGAGTGGGAAGTGGCCGGGATGAGGATCAGTGCCTCCAAATCTGAGACCATGGTCTTGAGCTGGAAAAGGGTAGAGTGTCTTCTCCGTGTTGGGGAGGAGGTCTTGCCCCAAGTGGAGGAGTTCAAGTATCTCGGGGCCTTGTTCACAAATGAGGGAAGAATGGAGCGGGAGATCGACAGGTGGATTGGTGCTGCATCTGCAGTGATGCGGGCGCTGTACCGGTCTGTTGTGGTGAAGCGAGAGCTGAGCCAGAAGGTAAAGCTCTCGATTTACCAGTCAGTCTACGTTTCTACCCTCATCTATGGTCACGAGCTTTAGGTAGTGACCATAGATGAGGATAGAAAGGAGGGTAGAACGAGACTGCGTATACAAGTGGCCGAAATGAGTTTCCTTCGCAGGGTGTCTGGGCTCTCCCTTAGAGACAGGGTGAGAAGCTCGGTCATCCAGGAGGGACTCAGAGTAGAGCCACTGCTCCTCCACGTCGAGAGGAGCCAGTTGAGGTGGCTCGGGCATCTGGTTAGAATGCCTCCTAGACGCCTCCCTGGTGAGGTGTTCTGGGCACGTCCCACTGGGAGGAGGCCCAGAGGAAAACCCAGGACACGCTGGAGGGACTATGTTTCTCAGCTGGCCTGGGAATGTCTTGGGATTCCTCTGGATGAGCTGGCCCAAGTGGCTGAGGAGAGGGAAGTCTGGGTCTCTCTGCTTAGGCTGCTGCCCTCGCGACCCGACCCCAGATAAGTGGAAGAAAACGGATGGACRAACAGAGTATTTAGCTACTTCTGATTGTTACTGATCTGCTACCTTTAGCTTTTAGCTAACCTTTCATTATTTTTAGCTGTGCTACCTTTAGCTTCTTGCAAACATTTTGCTACTTTTAGTCTTTAKTTACCATTTTGTTTCCTTTTGACTTTTAGCCAACTTTTTTGCTACTGTTAGCTTGTATGCTACATGTATGCAGGGCGATTATTGTGTCCAGTACTTTCTAAAACAGATGAYTTATTTCCTTACCAACATCGAGGATGTCAAGCGAGCTGATGTCAGTGGTCACTGACCCCAGCTGATTGGTTGCCTCCACCCAGATCAGGTACGGGGTGAAAAGGGCCATGTTTCCTGAGATGTAGCAGAAATAATCCTGCTTCTTCAAGCTGTAGTTTTCACACTCCTTTACTCTTTCATGCCACCTGATCAGAAGTAWACAATGAACCAGATGATTTGATCCTGAGGACAATGTGATCACCTGTGAGCTACAGCAGGAGCTCACCTCAGTTTGTACTTGAGGRTGTATTTGGTTTGAATGTGGCTCTCACCCCGCCCACCCAACTTCCACTTGCAGGTCAAGTCCTTCGCATTGTGGGACCAACAGGTCAGGTTTATTGGTTTTTCTGGAGGCACTGGAAAGCAATTAAAAAAAAACACAAGATTTAAAAAATTATTGTAAAATCCATACTGATAGCTGGATGGATGGATGGATGGATGGATGGATGGATGGATGGTTACTTTTATCAGAGTTTCAAACTAAATTTTGTTTTCACACTTGTAATAAACTTAGAATAAACTCTGGCTCCTGAAACAAACAGCACTACAATATAATTTCCACAAAATAAACAAAAACTTGAAYTTAACTGATTTTTTGTCTTTAATGTAATTATTGCACTAGAAGTACACATTATAAAATATCAGTTTTCAGGATTTTTTTTGTTTGTTCAGCAAAGTAAAAAAACAACTAATACTGGAGGAAGCCACATTGTCTAGCTTTAAAACATGCTAAAAAAATAATTAAAAATTGAATTCTGTCAAATGCCCAAGCTTTGGCTTCAGGACATTTTCCTTTATTTAACATAAAACGTGTACTTTAGGCAACATCCCTGCATGTAATGAAAAGTTTYTCATTAGCTGCTTTCACTAACAACGGAAGACAAAACAGCTGCATGACATTTATTTACATGTTTAAAATCAAGATGCAGCTCCTCTTTAAGACTAATAATTTCTTACGCTATTTCATGAAAAATATTGAAAAAAAAAAAAGTAAATACTGGTAATTCTGTTAAACCGGTATACCAAGAGTTATACTAACATCTGATCAGCAMCAGAACAGCAACTTATGCATCATAAACAAGTATTTTATTTGTTACCCAACTTTTAGCAACCTTTCCCTTCAGGCAGCAGATAGACCAACTCCAGCCTTTACTTACTGCCCACATGGAGACAAGATCCAGCCAGGACCCGTCCATCTGCAGCGTGACACACCAGGTTGTCTCCTGACTGCTGCTGGGAGCCACCCAGGCTGTGCACGGTGACACTCAGGGCGCTGGAGGACAAGATGCTGTAGGTGCTGCTGGGCAGGCGGACCCCATTCAGGGTCCAATACAACGAGCCGGGGTGGAGACCGAGCTCAGGGCCCAGCGTGCAGKTCGCTGTCAAACTGGAGCCGATCTGCAGGATGGGGTCCTGAGGGGAGATGACTGCAACATCTGTGCATTAAACCCAGAACAACATGATTTATTCTCTGCTTAATGAACAGGAGGGTTTTTTTTAAAGGCTGACTTCACATATTTTTACTATTTATTTATGATTATAATAAGCTGCTGAACTCGTGCTTCTTTAATAAACTGAATAAATTTTTCACCTTTTTATTCATCTTAACTGTATTWAATGTAAAAGAAATACAATATTTTTTAACACAAGACCACTTTAAGGTATTTTTACTTCATGTGATCAGTTCATTGGGTTGTTTGTTTGTGTTGCTAGCTTTCTTTCAGGCTTTTTTGGTTCAGACCACAACAAAGCAGCAGCTCAGTACACRATACTTATAACCGGATAATGAAGTGGATTTATGGAGCGCACGGAAAGGTTTCTCCAGTCTGTTAATAAAATACTTTAATGACATTTTGTCCACACCACGACAGAAAGTTTGTTTAMATTGATGCTCATGAGCCAGCCAACAATGAGTTTCGTTGGCTGCTTGAGGTAACCACTGGCTTTTTATCCCTCTCGTCACACCTTTTACAGAGGTGTATAAAGTACTAAATAACTAAGTAAAAGTAATAATACTTAACC